AGAGATCAGAAGGAGGGCCTGAGGGTGCTGTGTCTGCAGCCTACTTGTAACAGAGTGGAGAACGTCACAAGCAGACTCAGCCTTTGCAGACGGGGGGACATACACTGCTACCATAATGACATGAGAAAACTCCCTGGGTAGATAATATGGTCTCATGCCAACAGCCAGCAGCTCAATGTCCCTGCAGCAATGCTGTTCCTTGATAGTGATGTGCCCAGAGTTACACCATCTATCATTAACAAACACAGCCAGCCCACCTCATTTCCTCTTACCGCTGTCCGCTGTCCTGTCGTAACAGGATACACTACATCAGGAAATCGATTTTAATGAACTCATATGAACATGGTGGCCTAAACTTTCTTGATTTCTCTACCCTAAATAACACTTTAAAAATAAATTGGATTAAACAATTCCTTAAAAACCCATCCTCAATCTGGAATTTTATTCCAAATTATTTATTTTCAAAACTGGCCTTAAATTCATTTTAATCTGCAACTACAGTATTGAAAAAATCCCCCTAAAGTTGTCCAATTTCCATAAACAAATGCTTCTTTCCTGGTCCTTAATTTACAAGCACAATTTCTCACCCCACAGATACTACATTTGGAATAATAGAGACATTTTATACAAACATAAATCTTTATTTTTGGAAAACTGGTTTGTCCATGGAATTTACTTAGTTAAGCAGCTTTTTAATTCTAAAAGTGTTTTAATATCTTACTCTGAACTTTTAGACAAGTACGGTATTCCCATACCACCAAAGGAATATGCTCAGGTTTTTGATGCAATCCCATCTGGTGTCATAACGCTTCTTAAAAACTCTGTAGCTTCCGAATTAACCTTATTGAATTTGGATCCTGCTGATACTAGTGTGGGTCAAATCTGTTTTGCCACTAAGAAAGGAAACAACAACCGTGATATATACGTGCCCTATTTCAGAAGGACGTGGTCTCTGTCCCAAATGTGGTCTCTTACTGGAATAACTTCACTCCAGACCTGAACTGGACGAAAATATGGTGTCTTCCATCCAAATATCTGATCTTAAACAAGGTCAAAGAAGTGTCTCTTAAAATGATTCATCGGTTTTACCCCTGCAAGTTGTTTTAATGGAGATACAAAAAAGACATTGACGTGGACTGCTCATTCTGCCAACAAACTGAAGAAGATCTATGTCACTTGTTCTGGTCCTGCTCTTTCTCTGATGCTTTCTGGCGAGACGTCGGTATATTCATTTCCTAAAACACTGACTCTGATTTTTCGCTTACATATGTAAATGTATTGTTTGGATTTTTTTTCATATAATGCTAAAAAAAACAAATCAATATTATATCATCAATCAATCCTGTTACTTGCAAAATACCATATCCACAAATCTAAATTCTCTAACCAAAACCATCTTTTTTAATTTTTGAGAAGAAATTCAAACAATACATTACCACAATCCATCGTTCTAAAAACCAAAAAGCCATCAAAACTACTGATCTATGTACACTGTATAATATCTGTATGAATTAGTTTGTCCTTTTTGTCTACAATCCATACTCCTGGCATCACTGTGTTTTATGTTCAGGTCCTATTTGCACTACTGCAATGACCAACATTTGAATAAAGTTTGCAAAAAAAAAAAAAAAGAGGAGGAGCTTCAGTAGTGAGGAACTCATTCAGCGGCTCCTCTGGCAGCATCAGTGATTCTGTCTCCTAACAGCCTGATGATCACAGATGATTTATACTGAACTATATATATATATATAGTTCATGGTGACAAACATCATGGACTGATCATCATGAATTTATGAACATTTAAATATGAAATTATGGTATCAAATGATTATAATTTTAAGCACCTTTTCCAGGCCATTCTCTTGTTTGTTTGTTTTATTTGTTTGTTTATGACTTTATTATTCTAAACTAACTTTCTTGTTTTTAATTTTCCCTTTTTTTTAAATGAATGTCTTACAATTTTGGGGGGTAATTTATTCTTCCATTGCTCATCACCTTCTTCCTGTGTTTTTGGGGAGACATCAGGTCAGTGTGATAAGACAGAAGAACTCAGGTTCAGTCTTTGTACCTGATACAGGAGGAACACGGCCCCTCAACCAGAGACACACTGACTGAACACGCAGCCTTCAAATGCTAAAGTATTCTTTAGTTTTATTTCTTCATCATCATCAATAATATTATTATTATTAATAATAATAATAGTAATAGTAATAATAATAATAAATAATAATAATAACGGAACCTTTTCCATTACACAATCTCCATCTTCGGCCCTGTCGCCCCTCCTCCACCTCGCCACCCATTGGCTGTTTGATCTGACAGACACTGACTCTGACCAATCAGACGCAGGCGTCCAAAATCCCTCCGCGTAGATTTCCCGCCCTGCTGTCGTTGCTGGGCGGGGCGGAGCCGCGTTGCAACGAGCTTTGACTTGCGGCCCCGTGAGCCAATCACAGACGAGTATCAGGACGCGCTCCGCCCAGGTTGGCCAGCCCAGTTCCCGCCCTCTGAATGGGGGCGTTGCTGGGGGGCGTGGTCGGGCTCGAGCTCGACCCAGTTTGAAAGTGAACCACCGTCTCCATTGAGTCGCAGCCTCAGCCACCAAACAACAACAAGAAGGACCGACAGGAACCGACCAGAACCGACCCGGACTCTGCTGCAGCCTGTACCGGCCCTCCTGACGAGTGAGTACCCCGTCCATCCTCCTCCCGCTGCGGCACGCGCAGTTAACGGAAAACGAGTTAGCTTTGAGTCACCGGTTTTTCAGTGCTGTGCAAAATCTGGTGATAAAAGGTCCGTGAATGAGGCTGAAACGGGAATAAAATGGCCGCTGTAACGGGCACAGTGTGGCGGATATTTGTTCGGGTCTCCGCGGGCGCACGGAGCGGACTGACCGAGACGTGTTGTTGTAAACACGAAACGCCCATTATGGAATATGAATGCCAGGGAATAGCCTTATCCCGTCCATACAACGCTGACCTCTCCGGAGCATAACCGGAGCCCTGCATTGAAAATGCGTAACTGTTGTACCGACACCGTGTTTCCGTTGCAAAAGCGGCCGTTTGGAATAAAAACGGCTCCGTGGTGATAAAGATGAAGCCCACGGAGTGTGAGCAGAAAGCTACTCTTTGTGTTGCTCTGACATGGTGTTTTTTCTTTGATGCTAGCCCGTTAGCCTGCTGCTAGCGGAGGGGGATGGGGCGGCTAGCCCTGCAGAGGGCGGGAAGCAAATGGTGGCCCATTGTTCTGTTAGCATGGCTAGGCTAACTGCAGCACTCCGTACATGTCCATAGAAGACGCGGCTAGCTCCGGTTTTCGTTCATCTCTACGGCTCGTAGACTCCCAGTCACAGGCGGAGCGGAGGAACCGGCTCCGGCCCCGGCGGGATGTCCCGGCACAGTCCCGGACCGACAGAGGGTCCGGTGTGGGTCGGTGGGCCTCCGGGCTCCCCGGCTGAGAAAATGGATCCCCACTTTGTTCTCTTTGTTATTCTCAATCAGCCCGTTACACCGCCGGAGGACCGTTATTTCACCGTGTAACGGGCCGTTAACGGGACGCGGTGTGACGGAGGACGGAGGAAGTTGATGTGCTCTGTGGTCAAATGTGATGTTTAATAAAACATGTTTAAACATTTGACAAGGTTAAATTCAGATTGTGAACAAAAGCAGACTCTCAGGTTAAAGGGTCAGTCCACCCAAATGTTTTCACCCCTCACTTCACATGTATGAATTTAATTAAAGCTGAATAAAGATTTAATCACTTCATTTATGATTTTCACTTTGATTCATCCTTTCATCAGCGGGTGGTGTCAGCGTCAACACTATGCAGTCATCTTAAATATTGTTATTAAACAATCTGTCTGCGTCTCCTTCTGTCCACACTGAGTGTAAAATATCACCACCAGTGTTCTTCATCATCATCATCATCACTTCGCCTCCTTCATCCAGTCGCTTTTCTTTGTTGTACATGTTGTATTAACTGTGTCTGAAGACGTCTCCTGGGGACACGTGTGGACATCTGTCTCTGCTCCGAGACACCAGATCAGCTATAACATATGATCAGCATGATAATCAATAACATGCAGCCAGCTTGTTTCAGATGTTTTGTCTCAGGCGTCACTGTCAGCTGAGCGGTACTCACGAAATGATCAACATTTAATATTATCTACACTGATCAATGATGAAACTAGTGTCAGCATGATGTAATAATTGATTATTGATCATGTTGTTATAGAATGTATATTCTGTTCACACTGAAATAAAAAACAAACACAACTACTGAAAACAATGCAAATGAACTAATTAATCAGTTCAGTCAGATCAATCATTCTCCTTTTATATCTGTACCCGTCTGTCTGTCTGTCAGGCCGCCAGTATGATGCGTAAAGACGTCAACAAGCCGAAGGGGAAGACGTCGGCGTACGCCTTCTTCGTCCAGACGTGTAGAGAGGAACACCGGAAGAAGAACCCTGAGCAGTCGGTCAACTTTGCAGAGTTCTCCAAGAAATGCTCCGAGAGATGGAAGGTAAGACGGACAGGTAGGTGAGGACTGACAGACAGGTGGGTGAGGACAGACAGGCAGGTGGGTGAGGACAGACAGGCAGAGTCTTCTAAACACTGTTCACCTCTGAGTCCTGCTGAAGTGTTCCCACCTGATGGAGCTGACATCAGGAGGTCAGAGTGTGAGCGTGGTGATGATCCCATCAGAAGAGACCGCAGATCTAAAGTCAACGTGTTCGTAACAAAAGATTTCTCCAACTGACTTTAAAAAACTCAAATCAATAAGTCAGATTGTTTTTACTGAAATGTGGATAATAAAGTGTGGTGCTCCCTTGTCTGTCCAGCTGGTGTTGAGCCCCTTTATTAAATAATTCATCTCCTCACATGGCGTCTATAAATCATGTTCTCTTCTCGCAGCTTGTGCCCTCAGCAGGACACAAAAACCAACACAGTGTCAGAGTTTGACCATTAAAATAGAATCAGCTGTTAAACGTTGAGTAACTGGATGTGATGTATAAAAACAGCGTCTCCTATAATGAGACATTAACACAGTGAGCACACATGTATGGAAATGAGATTCAAACCTGCGTCCCTTCGACGTTAGTAAGTCAGTGATGTTTGTGGGTCCGTGTCCTGCGTCCCTGATGTGTTAAACTCTGACAGGTCGCGTTAAACTCATTGTCCACATGTCCATAGAGACTCACCTCATCATCACCGTGATGGTGAACATAAGATCTGTGATGTTACCTGACGATAATAATAATAATAATAATAATAATACATTTTATTTATAAAACGCTTTTCAGAGTTCTCAAAGTCACTTTACAGAGACGGTTCAAACATATCAAAAAGCAATTTTCAGCAAAAGACATCGAAGACAAAGAAGAATAGCAACGGGAGTGAAAAAACAAATAAATGAATAAAAGTAGCTAAACATTAAAAGCAGAACAGAACAGGTGAGTTTTGAGTAGTGATTTGAATGATGGGAGGTCAGTGCATTCACGGATGTGTTTTGGGAGGGAGTTCCAGAGGGTGGGGGCAGCAACGGAGAAGGCTCTGTCCCCCCAGGTTCTGTGCTTGGTCTTGGGGATGGTGAGAAGGTTGGCATTGGAAGAGCGGAGGCTGCAGGAAGGGGTGTAAGGGTGGAGCAGGTCTGTGAGGTAAGAGGGGGCCTGGTTGTGGAGGGCTTTATGGGTGAGTAGGAGGAGTTTGAAGTGGATGCATTGTGGAACAGGGAGCCAATGGAGGTTATGAAGGACAGGGGTGATGTGGTCGCGGGAGCAGGTGTGAGTGAGGAGGCGGGAGACAGAGTTTTGGATGTATTGGAGTTTATTGAGGAGTTTGGAGGTTGGGCCATAAATGATGCTATTGCAATAGTCAAGGTGGGATGGAATGAAGGCGTGGATCAGGGCTTCGGCAGCATTGCGAGAGAGTGAGGGGCGGAGGCGAGAAATGTTTTTAAGGTGAAAGAAGACTGTTTTAGTGACTTTTAGTGACGTTACTTATCATCGAAGTGTTTCTCACAGAAACCGCAGAGAGGTGAAATTGGTGACTTTCACGACTGCAAAGGCTCAATCTCCTCTAGTTTTTAAGGGTGATCGAGGAACATCCAAGACCATCTGATTCGCTGATCTGAGGGCTCTGGAGGGCCGATGCAACTTAAGGTCAGATAGGTATTCCGGAGCCAGCCCATTCAGAGACTTAAAAACAAATAAAAGAATCTTAAAATCAATCCTGTACCTAACCAGAAGCCAGTGAAGTGAAGAGAGCACCAGAGTTATATGCTCGCATTTCTTTGTCCCAGTTAGGAGACGAGCTGCTGCATTTTGAACAAGCTGCAGACGGTCAAGCTCTGACTGCTCAATGCAGACATACAGGGAGTTACAGTAATCTAAGCAAGAGGTAATAAAAGCATGGATAATTTTATCGAGGTCTTTCTGGCTAAGATAGGGTTTAACTTTGGCTAAAAGCCTCAGCTGAAAAAAGCTAGACTTAGACCACTGAGGTGACCTGTTTGTCTGGCTTAAAAGCACCATCAATAATCACACCAAGATTCCTGGCGTGAGATCCCATGTGAGGTGCTAGTGGGCCAAGGGAGCTGGCAAGGACCTGAACCAGACCAGGGAGACCGAACAGGACAACCTCTGTTTTGATTTCATTCAAGTTTTATTATTAAACACCAGTTTCCACCTGTGGAGTCTCACCTGAACCAGTACCACATGTTTTATTCCTTTGACCTTTACCACAGGTGATTTATCTACTGACAGACCTCACATGAGGTTCTGACTCTGTGTGTGTGTGTGTGTGTGTGTGTGTATTTCAGGCTCTGACAGCCAGTGATAAGAAGTGTTTCGAGGACATGGCAAAGGCCGACAAGGTGCGTTACAACAGAGAGATGAGAGACTACATCCCCCCCAAGGGCTTTGGAAAGAGGGGGCGCAAGAGGAAAGACCCCAACGCTCCCAAAAGACCCCCGTAAGACATCACACGCGCGCACGCGCACACACACACACACACACACACACACACACACACACACACACACACACACACACAGAGAGCAATAAACCGATCAGCCAAACAACACTGAGCATCTTGTCACAGCACAATGTTCTGTTGGGAAATCTTGGGTTCTTTGTTCTTGTGGTTGCCACCTGACACCTCCAATTCCTTGGATCCCAGTCTGATCAAACATCTGTGGGACATGCTGGTACCCCACCTCACAACCCAGGGGACTCAAAAGATCTGAAAACACCAAAGGACACCCTCTAGAGGTCATGTGTCCATGTCTTAACAGGTCAGAACCAAGTCCGACCCAAGGAGCACCCACCTTGGATCAGAGGTACCTCTGGGGTACCAACACGTCCCTCAAATGTTCAATCAGATGGGGATCTGGGGTATTTTGGAGCAAAGTCGACACCTTGAGGTCTTTGTGCTGTTCCTGGGGTCGTGAGAAGCTTTTGAGGTGTGGCGGGGTGCACTGTCCTGCTGGAGGGCACTGCCATCGAAGTGCTGCTGCCATGGGGGGGTTTACTTGGTCTGTAACGGTGTTTGGGTGGGTGGAGCACATCAAGTAGCATCAACATAAATATCAGGACCCAAGGGGTTCCCAGCATAATATTGTGCTGTAACAAGAAGATCAGTGTTGTCCACTTCACCTGTCAGTGGGTTTAATGTTTTGGCCGATCAGTGTGTGACTGATGTCTGCCAGCAGAGGGCAGCACACACTGAGACGTACAGCTGAGGGTCCTCTGGTCTGTCAATCAGGAGACGCTCTCTGATGGTGAACTGATCTGTGATCAGGCTGAGGCTCATCACAACAGACCTTTATTCACACTAATGGTTAACCTGTCTGTCTGTCTGCAGGTCTGCGTTCTTTGTGTTCTGCAGTGAGTACCGTCCCAGTGTGAAGCAGCAGTTTCCTGGTCTGTCTATAGGAGACTGTGCCAAGAAACTGGGAGAGATGTGGAGCAAACTGTCCCAGTCTGAGAAACTGCCCTACGAGGAGAAGGCCCAGAAACTACGAGAGAAATACGACCGGGTTAGTGACAGTGACACAGAGACAGGTTTTTACTGTGGTTAGTGTAGTGACAGAGAGAATGAGATGTGTGTTCAGTGTGTAGTTACTGTGGTTGTAAATAGGTAGAAGACGTGTGTGTGTCCTCATCAGGATCCATCAGTGGACCAACAGTCTTCATCACGGTCCACCGGTGGACCGACAATCCTCATCAGTGTCCATCAGTGGACCAGCGGTCCTCATCAGGGTCCATCAGTGGACCAGCGGTCCTCATCAGGGTCCATCAGTGGACCGGCGGTCCTCATCACGGTCCATCAGTGGACTAGTCTCCTGCATGTTTCTGATATGAATGTAATGATGAAATGATATATTTTGGTGGTTTGAGTTGAAGTAGGGCTGCACAGTATATGCGGTAGACGGTAGAAATGATATAAATTTGGCCCATGGTAGAGATTTGTGCTCTACCATTCTATCGTCGATGACGTCATCACACCTGCCTCAGTGTGAAAATAGGTTCGTTGGAGATGAGCCAGGCCTGCGCAGATTCGATCACCGGCGATTGGCGCACAATCCATGCCGGTTAGTTTTGTGTCCGACTTCATCCCGACTTGCTCTGACGTATTACAAAAGTGGACGGCGATTAAACCGCGAGAGCGAGGCGGCCGCAGTTTTTAGAGCCAGGAGCTGCAGTTGCTCTCCACCGACTGCACCGCCTGGCTCTCACCTGATCTAACAGCTGATTGGTTCAGATGTCGACTCAACAATATGACGTTTTAGATAAACTACTCATTTTTGTTGAATTTTAGAGATTAAGATTGTATTTGTCTGACCTGAAGGTTTATTCTGTGAACAGAAAACATGATGTGTGACTGATGGTGAAAACAAACTGATATATGGGTCTGATCACTTTTTTAATGAACAGAATCATTCCAGACAGGATGTGAGTGTGTCTGTGACTTCCTGTACGGACTGAAGGCTGCTGGAAACGGTCCGACTTCACTGCAGCTTTTTGTCACCGCCCCCCGCTGCGGCCGCCTGCTCTCATCTACTTTCCAGGCGAGGTGCAGTTCATCTCGAACGAGCCTATTGGCTGCGAGCACAGAGACAGCGGAGCAAGAGGAGCTGGTTCATGTCCGTGATTTAGCGTAGCACGTGCAACATGCGTTGCTGGAGAACTTGTGAGTGAGTGAGTTAATGTCTTATGAACAGCCCCGGACTTCTCAGACTCTTTTAGCGACTTACTGCTCAGAGGGAACTCGTTCAGTGTCTCCTCTGGCAACAGCACAGCATCTCTCCCTCTCCTCTCTCGCCGTGCGCACACGGGAGTTGGTTTTCGGCAAGAGAGTTTGTCATAAACCTTTGGTAATGTAAACCTATGTGACGCTAGGGGCTCCACAAAAAACTCCGTATGTGAATGTGTGATAGTTGTGGTATCATAGCAGCCTGTCACAGGTTACAGCGTGATGATTAGAGGAGAAATGGCAGAGCATAAAGGTCCAGGTGGAAAAAACACAACTCAGTCATTTAGGATTTTGCTAAAAGAAGGAAATTACCTTTTGATATAGATCCCAGGGTACATTTTGCACCATAGAGTGCTGGGTTTTAATTTTGAGTTTTGAGATCTGCATTCTGCACAATAAATGCTCTAAAAAATTCATTATATCTTTGCTTTTGTTATTGTTGTTTTTTTAATCAATTTAGCTTTGCTAAGGGACTACAAAACCCATTCAGAAACACTTCTATTATAACTTTTACACTTAAATTTATACCGCGATATATACCGTTACCGTGAAGGGATTCGATTTATACCATGATATGAATTTTAGGTCATACCGCCCAGCCCTAAGTTGAAGGTGTGAGAAAGAATAGTATCAGTAACATTGTTAACACTGTGCTACATTACAGAGAAATACAAACCGTACTAATGAACCTTCATTAATATAGGCCTATATTTTATCTCCAAGTGCACGTCACACACTGAGCGAGCTGTCTGTTAATGACGCTGTGGGCTAATGGGCATGTAGCTACTTCCATGTTTCACATGATGCATCATGTAGGTTTGGATTTATTATGACAAGGTGCAGCTCCTAATAGAGTTTCATGTTTATGTTTTTTCTCTGCGACTAAGCGACCAATGAAATCTTGCTGACTAATGACCTTTCTGGTCGACTGCCGGGGGCGGGCCTAGTGTCTGTGTGTAGTCACTGATGAACACATTAATGTTCATCAATAATGAATTTCCTGTGTGTTTCTGACAGGACATGGTGGCGTACCGCGGCGGCGGAACGTACGCCAGCAGGAATCCTGGCTCCTCAGCTCAGGGAGGAGAGGAAGAGGAGGATGATGAGGGAGAGGATGAAGATGAGGAGGAGGAGGAGGATGACGAGTAGAAACGAAGAGCTGCAGCTGGATGAGAGAAAGAGATACGGAGAGTGTGTGAGACAGGTGTGTGTGTGTTTCAGAGGACGAGACAGATGAGGAGTCTGACACGGACCAGACACACTGATGCTGTCTAATACACACACACACACACACACACACATACAGGTGTGTTACACACTGACACAGCTCAAAACACACAGGTGAGTCACACAGAGGTGTGTTATACGTAGACGTGTCAAATAAGGGACTTACACACTGGTGTATGTTACACAGGTGTGTTACCTACAGGTGTAGCCTATACACCTGTAGGTAACACACCTGTGTGTAGCATACCTGTTTGTATCTCGCCTGTTTGTAACTCAGAAAGTTGTTGTTCAGAAAGGAAGTGAAGCTCTGAGCGTGGCGGCCATGATGACTTCCTGCTGCAGGTGATATTAGGGAGAGTAGAAGAAGAAGAGGGACAGGTGAGGGTAAAGGTAAGCTCAGCCAGCTGCCAGCCAATCAGGAGCAGCTATTCTGTGACAGAATCAATAGTGTTAACTGTTTAAAAGCTTTGTCGTGATTGGTGTAAAGTCATGTGATGTCATCATAGAAACCGGACCAAAGTCGGGACAAACGCTCACCTCGTGTTTTTAAATGTCTTCCATATGATACACTAGACTGTACCTGTACCGAACTGTACCTGTACCAGTCAGACTTTACCTGTACCAGAGTCAGACTGTACCTGTACCAGACTGTACTTGCACCAGAGTCAGACTGTACCTGTACCAGACTGTACTTGCACCAGAGTCAGACTGTACCTGTACCAGACTGTACTTGTGTCAGACTTTACCTGTACCAGACTGTACCTGCACCAGAGTCAGACTGTACCTGTACCAGTCTGTACTTGCACCAGAGTCAGACTGTACCTGTACCAGACTGTACCTGCACCAGAGTCAGACTGTACCTGTACCAGACTGTACCAGAGTCAGACTGTACCTGTACCAGACTGTACCTGCACCAGAGTCAGACTGTACCTGTACCAGACTGTACCTGCACCAGAGTCAGACTGTACCTGTACCAGACTGTACCTGCGTCAGACTGTACCTGTACCTACTGTTCACACACCTGCAAGACTGCAGGTATCGCACTTTGGTACAAATACAGACTGAACATCATCACAGTAACTCTACACGTCAGGAGAACTCCTCAGGTAAAGACGTGTTCAGATCGGTTCTGAGGAGAGTACAGCGAACTCCTCAGGTAAAGACGTGTTCAGATCGGTTCTGAGGAGAGTACAGCGAACTCCTCAGGTAAAGACGTGTTCAGATCGGCTCTGAGGAGAGTCCGGAGAACTCCTCAGGTAAAGACGTGTTCAGATCGGTTCTGAGGAGAGTCCGGAGAACTCCTCAGGTAAAGACGTGTTCAGATCGGTTCTGAGGAGAGTCCGGAGAACTCCTCAGGTAAAGACGTGTTCAGATCGGTTCTGAGGAGAGTCCGGAGAACTCCTCAGGTAAAGACGTGTTCAGATCGGTTCTGAGGAGAGTCCGGAGAACTCCTCAGGTAAAGACGTGTTCAGATCGGTTCTGAGGAGAGTCCGGAGAACTCCTCAGGTAAAGACGTGTTCAGATCGGTTCTGAGGAGAGTCCGGAGAACTCCTCAGGTAAAGACGTGTTCAGATCGGTTCTGAGGAGAGTCCGGAGAACTCCTCAGGTAAAGACGTGTTCAGATCGGTTCTGAGGAGAGTCCGGAGAACTCCTCAGGTAAAGACGTGTTCAGATCGGTTCTGAGGAGAGTCCGGAGAACTCCTCAGGTAAAGACGTGTTCAGATCGGTTCTGAGGAGAGTCCGGAGAACTCCTCAGGTAAAGACGTGTTCAGATCGGTTCTGAGGAGAGTCCGGAGAACTCCTCAGGTAAAGACGTGTTCAGATCGGTTCTGAGGAGAGTCCGGAGAACTCCTCAGGTAAAGACGTGTTCAGATCGGTTCTGAGGAGAGTCCGGAGAACTCCTCAGGTAAAGACGTGTTCAGATCGGTTCTGAGGAGAGTCCGGAGAACTCCTCAGGTAAAGACGTGTTCAGATCGGTTCTGAGGAGAGTCCGGAGAACTCCTCAGGTAAAGACGTGTTCAGATCGGTTCTGAGGAGAGTCCGGAGAACTCCTCAGGTAAAGACGTGTTCAGATCGGTTCTGAGGAGAGTCCGGAGAACTCCTCAGGTAAAGACGTGTTCAGATCGGTTCTGAGGAGAGTCCGGAGAACTCCTCAGGTAAAGACGTGTTCAGATCGGTTCTGAGGAGAGTCCGGAGAACTCCTCAGGTAAAGACGTGTTCAGATCGGTTCTGAGGAGAGTCCGGAGAACTCCTCAGGTAAAGACGTGTTCAGATCGGTTCTGAGGAGAGTCCGGAGAACTCCTCAGGTAAAGACGTGTTCAGATCGGTTCTGAGGAGAGTCCGGAGAACTCCTCAGGTAAAGACGTGTTCAGATCGGTTCTGAGGAGAGTCCGGAGAACTCCTCAGGTAAAGACGTGTTCAGATCGGTTCTGAGGAGAGTCCGGAGAACTCCTCAGGTAAAGACGTGTTCAGATCGGTTCTGAGGAGAGTCCGGAGAACTCCTCAGGTAAAGACGTGTTCAGATCGGTTCTGAGGAGAGTCCGGAGAACTCCTCAGGTAAAGACGTGTTCAGATCGGTTCTGAGGAGAGTCCAGCGAACTCCTCAGGTAAAGACGTGTTCAGATCGGTTCTGAGGAGAGTACAGCGAACTCCTCAGGTAAAGACGTGTTCAGATCGGCTCTGAGGAGAGTCCGGAGAACTCCTCAGGTAAAGACGTGTTCAGATCGGTTCTGAGGAGAGTCCGGAGAACTCTTCAGGTAAAGACGTGTTCAGATCGGTTCTGAGGAGAGTCCGGAGAACTCCTCAGGTAAAGACGTGTTCAGATCGGTTCTGAGGAGAGTCCGGAGAACTCTTCAGGTAAAGACGTGTTTGTCTCTCAGCAGGTGGAGGACATCATATCTCATTAACACCTGAGTTTTAACAGAGATGATGTGGAGACGTCTCTGTGGGAACCTGTCCAATGTTTCCTGTTGATCAGTTATTGATTAACGATCAGCTGATCGATCAATGATGGCACTTACTCAGTTCAGTGTGTTAACTGGTTTTAGGTAGGTAGACCACATGGATCAGTTGACACGAGGTCATGTGACTGAATCAGACTTCCTGTATCAAAGATCAGATTTTAAACCGTTGATCATATGATCAATAATCAATAATCAGTAATCATCAGTGTTCTGAACCTGACAGATGGGTCGCTCTGAAACACACACACAGGACCAGAGTGAGTGTGTGTCGCAGTGTGTGTTTGTGTGAGTGTGTGTATGTGTGTGATAATGGTGTGTGTGTGTGTGTGTGTGTGTGTGTGTGTGTGTGCGTGCGCGTGTGATGGCTTTCAGTAACGTGTGTGTGAGATTGTGTGTGTCAGAGGTCATCAGATGTTAAACTGTCCGTCACCAGAGGACAGTAGAGTTACCCCCCCCCCCCCACCTCACTGTTACCATGGTTACCCCTGCCCCCCCACTCCCACCCCTGTGTGTTACCATGGACACCCCCCCCTCCCGCCCCCCCCCTTCATCATCATCATCATCATCATCATCATCATCATGATGTTGTTGTTTTTTATTTTCTTACTGGAGCTTTTTCTGTTGCTTTGTTTCACTGTCCTCCTGTAGAGACACATTGTCCTCCTGTAGAGACACATTGTCCTCCTGTAGAGACACATTGTCCTCCTGTAGAGATGTCCACTTTTCTAATAAACTGAGGAAAAACGCACTTCGTCTGTCTGTCTCTGTCTCTTCTAATTCACTGTGGACACACTGTCCTCCTGTAAAGACACACTGTTGTCCTGCAGAGACACTGTTGTCCTCGTACAGACACACAAGGAGACACACCACAGAAGTGGCAGGCCGTGGTTTGTTCGTCCATAAACTGACTCCTACATGGTTTTAAGCCACCTTTACCAAACGGTTTTTGGAGCCTGGTAGTTTTTAATAACAGCCTTTGACTGAATTAAGAATTTTGGCAAACGGATGAGTGGACTGTAAATTACTATGGTAAATCCGCCCACTGCCACCGCTCCAGCCGCTGATTCTTTGCACACCCAGGTCGCTGTCCCTGAGGACCCCTGGCTGCAGCCCTAAGCTAAACCCAAAGCCCCGTCTAGCTCTACTCCATCACATCCACATCATCGGCCCTGGGCTGTGATTGGTGGATGTAAAAAGATGGGGGGACTCTCCTTTCTTTCTTTTCACACTCCGGCAAACAAAGACTTCCACTTGACGAATCGATGCGACATCCTTGATTCAAATGAATATCCTCCATTAACCAGGAACCCGGAGCCTCTTCCACCTCCCATGACAAAACCTCGGTTCTGGTCCCAGCACATTTCACTGCATGTCCACTGCACAGTGGGAATCAAGCTGCAGCTCTGTCTCCATCCTGACTCGTCTCCTCTGGACTGGAGGTTCTGGACAAACTGGATAAACTTCGAACAGTTTCAATCTCTTCTGGGAAAGTGGGTTTGTTTACAGTGCAGGTGGTCTCCACCTGAACACAGCTGGTACACGAGCGCTTTCATACACCCTCTGCCATCCACGTGCCCCCACGCCCACCTGCCTATTACATCATCATTTAAACTATGAAGTACTGCAGTATTTAAACCATGAAGAACTGTAGTATTTGAACCATGAAGTGCTACAGTCTGCAGTATTTAAACCATGAAGTGCTACAGTCTGTAGTATTTAAACCATGAAGTACTGCAGTCTGTAGTATTTGAACCATAAAGTACTGCAGTATTTAAACCATGAAGAACTGTAGTATTTGAACCATGAAGTACTGCAGTATTTAAACCATGAAGAACTGTAGTATTTGAACCATGAAGTGCTACAGTCTGTAGTATTTAAACCATGAAGTACTGCAGTCTGTAGTACTTAAACCATGAAGTACTGTAGTATTTAAACCATGAAGTACTGTAGTATTTAAACCTTGAAGTACCGCAGTCTGTAGTATTTAAACC